ATTGAAGCAACAATAAAATGACTTATATTGCTTATTTTCACTTAGCTTTTGAGTATATTTTACCAGTTTTCTACTAATATTTGAAATATCTCTTCAGTTCATCAATTTTAAAGATATTGGAAGTGAATGTAAAAGAAGTGGTTATAGGATCTTACATTGATTAAATACTTTGACTAGTTGACATATTTCTCAGAATAGTAAAATTATTGTTTCTATATAAAATTATATTTTTGTGTGCAATTGGAAAAAAGAATTCAGTTTTTATAGGTCACAGAATACTCAGTAAATTTGTTGCTAATTTCTTTTTGAGCATCTGGTAATCTGACAATTTAAATTTCTAGATGTTATCATTTAAAAAGCTTAAAATTAATATGTAATATGATATGTAAAATTAATTTTCACAATGATGTAATTCATAGATCATTTATGTAATTATATAAACTTTTCAATTTTCACTTCACTTCATGATGCAAAATATTTTTAAAAATACAAAGTGAAAGGTTTGTAAGTTATTTTTATTTTTATTATTTTTTAAGTTAAGCTTTATACTCTAGATTTTTCTTGTTTTTTTATTTCTATAAAAAAAATTGAACTTTACTGTTTTATTTATTTTATCTTTTGATGACTTATTCTATTTAATATTAGGTAATATTAAGTAGATTATGACTGTTGAGTTTACTGTTCTATATGGGAATTGGTTATATTTACTTGCAATCAAAATAAAAATTAGTTTTATGCAGGTTGTTTTATGTGCTAGTAGTAGAAGAATATCTATTATACTATATATATTGTGGATTAAAAGTTGATGATAGGAAAGGCTGAATAATTAATATATTAGGGGAAAATGTGTTCTCTAATAGGAAGGATATTAATGCTTTATTTCTACTACTGAGTGTATATTGACAACTTAATGTTCATAGTTGAGGTTACATATGATTATTTTTTTCCTGTTATTCATAATTGTTTAATTATTTATCCTTTTTCAATAGAGCTAATGATAGAAAAACTAAAACATGAACTAGTTTAAATCTAATGAAGGACCCTTTTTGTTATCAATTTCAGTTACAATTAATTCGCAAAAATTGCATTTTAAAGGTTACGTGTAATATCAAAGTCATCAAAATAATCATCTTTTTTTTAATCATTGAGACCCAAGACCTTGAGTTTAAACTAATCTATCAAGTTCTTTATTCCTTAGAAAATTTTTCTTATATTTTGATAGATAATATTAACTCAGGTAATGAATACTCTAACTTGTCTTTAATTGTACACTTCAAATTAATTGCAAAATTATTGCGAATTTTATATTGATTATAATGAATAAGAAAAACTAATTAATTAATAATATTATTTTTATTATTTATTATTATTAATTTATGAAATCTAGTTTTTTTATTTATTTTTTACCAATTAATTTAGATTTCGATTGCACTTTCTTTTTTTTTTCTCAAGAAAGAATCCTTTAAGCATGATATATATAGTATATAAAATAATACTTTAAAGTTACATAATAACATTGATAGTTTTTATTTGTTTATTTCTCAATTTATTTTTTTCAACAATATCTTTTAGTTGTAGTTTGAAAATCCAGAAGTTTTGAATGTCATTTGATAACCTTTTTTTCCTTTAATAAATTTTTATTTATATATATACATGTATAATTAAACCCTCCTTTTAATTGGTATCCAATATATTTTTAACTGTTAGCATATGTAATAGGGTTTCTGTTTAAAATATAAATTTTATATCAAATATTTGAAAGTTTTTAAGATAATTTTAAATGAATATCGAAATAATCAAATATAAAAACTATTTTAAAAAGAATATATAAAAAAAAATAAAAGTAAAAATTATAAAAAAATATAAAAATTAAATAAAAAAAAGAATCAATTGAAGAAAAAATATATCAAATACAAAAAAAAAAGAATGAAATATGAAAAAAATAAAAATTAATTGATAAGATCTAATAAATTTAGTTATAAATTTTGAAAGTAAATTTAAATGAACCCAATAATCCTAAAACAAAAAGTTTTATTTCATCTCCTCCTATAATCAAAGTTTTTATTTTAGAATTGCAAACGATTCTGTACAAGAATTCTTATTTAATTTACTTTTAAAATTCTTTAAAGAAAACACATTTAATAATATTTCTTTTATAATTAATATAATTAGCCAATACTTTCTTCAAATATCTATAACAGATATATAAAAAATGAAATAATATAATAATATAATAGTCTAGTAGTTTTATTTATTATATTTTATTAGTTGATTTAATTATATAGAATTTTATTATTGTATATATAGCTCAAAAACTCTAGTCACAGCAACATTTAATATTAGATGTTAAATTTATTTTTTAAAAAATATTATGTGATATCAGCTTACATTAAGAATTTATTATAATTTTAGCCAAATTTAAAAATATTATTAAAAGATTTTCTAGCAAATTCTTTATCTCTAAATAAAGAAACATGATTTAATATAATAGGAATAACTTATTGCAATCTGTTTCATATGTAATTACAATTATTTCTTGAATAACATTTTGTAGTATTCTAATATATTTTAATATAATTAAGCTTGTAGTGAAATTTTAAATAAAAGTTACCTTATAACTTTACTTTAATAATTTCTTGAATTATGCATTTTTGAGCAAAAAAATTGTGTTGATTTCTAAAATATGTAGCATATAATTTTAATTATTTGTTAAATCCTTATTTTTACAAAATCTTTTAAACCTAGTATTAATAATTAATATTATGTAAAATTTGCTTCATTTCTTTTTATTTTTTACAAAAAGATTTTTAGAATAATTGTCAAAAAATTCATAAATTGAACATTACTATTAAAAATAGTATTTTTTATTTTTAGTTGTTTACTACCTGATTCTATATTTATGCAGTTTACAATAAAAGCAACAGAACTAAATATATTATATGAAGTGGAATTATCAAATGCAAAAATAGTAACAACTTTAAAATGAGTTGCTTTAAATATTAGAATTGCATAATCAACAACCTGTATCTATTATTATTTATTTTTGGATTTATTATAATTCTAACTTTATATGAAATATTATTAGCAAGTTTTATTCTTTACTTAATTGTAATTATCTAATTATTTCACATAAATAGTTGCTAATATTAATACTTCTTCCTTTTCCTTTCTTATGAAGTAGTTACTCTTCATGTAAAATTACCTTTTATTATTAGAATGAAAAGTATTTTATCATAAGTTATCAGAATGTTTATTTTCTTATAAATCATAATTAATTTTAATATTTAGATTATCATTCAAATTTAATATTAATTTTCATATTAGGATTTAATAAAATTAATTGAATAAAATAAAATTAAAAATATTTTTATTTAAGATATTAGAATTTTTTACCTTGTAATTTGTTCTAATACTTTAACCTATATGCAATTATATCAGGTCTTTTATGATCATTAACTTAAACATCTTTTTTAAATTGTTTAAATTTAAATCTCATTTTATTAAGCCAATTTCTTACCATTTTTGTATTAAATTAAGAATTTAAATTAATTTTATATTAATAAAACGAGATTTTTTAATTTAAACCTAAAAGTTATTTCTTTTTAGATTCTAAATGATAAAAAAACTAAAATTTTTACATAATCAACAAAATAAGTAATATAAAATTTAAATTTATTTCATGTAATTATATTGCTATTTTACTTGAATATTTTTATCATTAAGTAAATTTTTAATTTTGTAATATTTCCTGTTTGAAATCAGAATAGTTATACAATTCTTTATTAATTTTTTCTATTCTCTAACAATATATAAAGTGTATTCTTTTATTTAATTACCATGTAATACTAAAACTTGCTTTAATTTTTAGTTTGTGATTAATAAGCTTAAGATACTGCAATAAAGCAGTTAACCTTAATTTATAATCATTATCAAAATTATTACTCTTTATTAAATTTTAAGTGATTTAACGATAAGTAAATATTAAATCATTAATAAAATAATTACGATTTTAAAGACTTTGTAATGAAAAATTTTTAATAATAGTTTTGGTATTGTCATGCCGTAATATATGCCTTAATCAGAAAGCAATCTTAACCAACATCAATACGATACGATAAAAATATAATGTGCTGAAATTTTAAAAAATTGCTTAACCTTTAGAAATTTGTAACTATTATAATTCAAACCGATTAATGGAATGGTTATATCGTATTAAATAAATTAGTATTTATTATTGGATGAGAATAAACAATATTCAAAAAAAAATCAATTATACACAACAATTCCAACAAACCTTGCGGAATATACTCGTTCGAGTGATTGATGATGCACCGCTTCGATGTAAAGAAACACATTAATTGTTTAGTTAGAATTTTGTCTTACTGTACGAAGACATAAATTTTCTTTTTTAAAAAAAATATTTTGTTTTTGCATGACAAACTTAACATTTGGTTCAGTATTTACGGGGATGTTGACACAAGGAATACTTCGTCCCGTTATGCCTATAAGAAAATAATCATTGGTATGGTAAGTTAATGATAAAATAATATGAAAAGAATAAATTTTGTAAAAGTTTGTATTAAGGAGAATACGAAAAATATATAATTTAATACAGAAAGGATTTGATCGAAAGATCAACACTTGGACATCGTGGGTAGAAAATTTCGGAAGGAATTGATAAACAACTGTAAAAGAGGAATTTTGTTAGAAAATGTTGGTTTAAAAAATAAGCACTATACTAAATGAACTTAATAAAAGAATAAACACTTCTCATCGCACTGAACAAACCGTAATAAAAAATAATTGATTTTAGAAAAGAGTGTAAACAAATGAAATGTAAGGAATTACAAAAAAAATGAAACGAAGAAATGAGATCTTTGCTTATTAGAGGAATAATCATAACATCTTACAACGGAAGCGAACTTCAACCAGAATAATTTTGCTTCGATATCAATAGACTCCAAGGAGCATGACCACTTGATGGGATCGATAAATAACTTTCAAGGATCACGACCACTTACAACAGGGTCGATTTCATCCAAGAAACACAATTCTTGGTGAGAGTCAAGGATCACGACCTCTCGACGGATCCTCCAAAACGATCACTTGCAATGGGATCGAGCTTCTTTCAAAAATAAAGCCCGCTGGACGGAATTGATATTTTTTCTTCCAAAGTTTATGATCACTTGATGGGATCAATAGATTTCTTCCAAGGATCACGACCACTTACAACGGAATCGATTTCATCAACATTCAATATGAAACGTTTGATCAATGAACCATAAATTTTATTCTAATGGTTGTTGAACAATTTTTGTACTATTTGTTATTATTTTGCTAAAGCACAAAAAAAAAAATCCATCGACTCATTTTAAAAATAACTTTAAAAACTCATTTTGAATTACTGAGAATATGTCGCAAAACAAGCTACAAGTGAACTGAATTCTTTATTGGATCATTACATTTTACTATAATCTGAATTTTTAGTCCATAATCGTGCCTTTTTTATTAGTTGAGAATATCATTTATATATTTTATCGTTAATTATGATCTTACAGTTGTATACCCATAAAAAATTATTAATCCGGAACGTAGGAATATTAAATACGAGAATCAATGTTACACATGTCCGTCTGCCCCCCGCTCTTTGTTTTATTTTGTTTCACGCCGATCTATTACGATTATTTTTATCACGTGAATTTAAAATGGGCACTTGCAAAACGGCTCCGTTACCTAGTATAAATTATTATTATGGTATAAGGACAACTCACAGTAAATATATAATTAAGTTAAGATTAATTTAATTTTATTAATTCTATCAAAAAAAAAGGATGCAAATACTTGTTTGTTATTCTTAAATCTTGCACTTGTATACTTTACAGCTAATTCATTTAGAAGAAAATTTTCTTTTTTTCCGCTATCTGACGCGATCAATAGATTACATAATTTGCTAGCAAAAGGTTATATTCCGTGTTTATTTTCTACACCCTTTCCACTATTCCATTTTTTTGATGTTTTAAGTTCCAATGAATCATAGATAAAGAATTTGATTATAAAACTATGAAACATAATCCTTTAATTAGATGTCCGTGAATATTGATTTTGTCATTTATATAAAAGGTTTTTATAATAAATCTTTTATTTTAAATATAAGAAACTTTCGATTTTTTAGTCAATCGCATTGCAAAATAAATTTGTCAAAACGAAATAAAGTTGAAATTATAATAATAGTCGATCTAATTTATTTTCATTGTAAAAGACAATTATTTTTTTGAAGTGGTTGACCTTAAAGAATAAAATGCTCAAATTGGCTTATAAAAACAATTATACTTGTGTTTTTAAAAACAAGTTTATCAAGCTATATATAATTAATAACCTGAATATCAGCGTGCTTTAAGCATATTAATGTTTTTGATAAAATTTTTTTTATTGATAATGTTGGGTAAAATCTTCAAGTTAATATTATTAAAAAATAAAAAAAGTAATATAATAAAAGAAAGAATAAGTTCTTATTTAATTACATTGATAAAACTATCATAAATATCAAAATCCACAATTTATTTGAAATGATATATTAAAATGTAATGATAAGAAAAATAATCCTTTAATTTGAATGCAAATACTAATTCTTAAATTAAAATAACATTACGAAATGTTTAAATATTAAAAATGTTTAATAGATTTGTAGAAAAATTATTAGAATATTGGGTTTTTAAAGTTTCAGGAATGATATCTGTCAAGGAATTGGGTAAATTTGGTAAACTATTTATTTGTGTATCAAAGCACCAAAGTTTCGTTAAGGAATTTGGTAAGGTTGGTAAACTAGTTATTTTGGTATCAAAGCAACTGAGTTCTGTTAAGGAGTTTGGTAAGGTTGGTAAACTAGTTATTTGAGTTTCATAACAATAGAGTACTGTTAAGGAGTTTGGTAAGGTTGGTAAGCTAGTAATTTGAGTTCTAAAACAATAGAGTACTGTTAAGGAGTTTGGTAAGGTTGGTAAGCTAGTAATTTGAGTTCTAAAACAATAGAGTTCTGTTAGGGAGTTTGGTAAGGTTGGTAAACTAGTTATTTGAGTACCACCGCAACTGAGTTTCGTTAAGGAGTTTGGTAAGGTTGGCAAGCTATTTATTTGTGTATCAAAACACCAGAGTTCTGTTAGGGAGTTTGGTAAAGT